CATGAGTTGCTTGTTTTTCAATGTAGAAGTTAATTTTAAGAAAATAAAAACCAGTTTATACTTACATTGGTAAATGTGTAAGTACCGAGTGACCAAAGTTACTTTTCTTTTTAAATAAAGGCAGTTGTATTTAGTTGTGAAATATTTTCAAATATTTTAACTATTATTTAGAAGTTTTAATGTTTGTATTTTATTTTAGAACCTTTTTTTTTTTTGTATTTTGTATGTGTTAAGATCTTTGTGTAATGAAAAACGCTATTACTTTATCTAATTAGGTTGGTGGTCCTGATGCCTTGGAATATAAACCAGGTCAGGATATTTTGGACATCTGGTTTGATAGTGGAACTTCCTGGTTTCATGTTCTTCCAGGTAATTTTTAATAGATTAAAGGTTTTGAAACATAAATGTTATTTGGAAGAGATCTATAGACTTACTCATGCTTTTGCTAAGGGAGATAATTTTTAAGCTAGAAAACCCATCCTTTTTGTTGTTAAGTACCATCCAGTCAGAATCAACTCATAGCTGACCATAGTTTTCAGAGGTAGTTAAATGCACAGAAGGAGATTCCCTATCTTATTCTCACAATCTAGTGATCTCCAGTTTCCCCCCCAGTTTTTTCCCCTCAGATGAAACTTTACATTATGTAGTCACAATGTGTAAGATGGAACTTGATTTACAATCACAATGTATGAGATAAAGAAAATGGAAGTTTCTTTGCCTTTCATGACTTTGACATTTGTGATAATGCAGTGTTGTTTATTTTGTAGATTATCCTTTATTTGGGGTTTATGTTTTGTGTCTTTATGTTCAGCTTATATTTTTTGTGATCCTATGCCCTTTTTAGTGCATCATATCAGAAGGCTCTTAATGTCTAATTGCTCCATTATGTTTGAACTTTGATCATACAGCTGTTTTAGCTTGTCATAGGAGTTGTCTGCAGGTTTTCTCTTGTAAAGTTACTCAATGCCCTTAGCCCCATTCCCAACCTGAGTCTCTGACTGTAAGATAGTCTTGAAACTGTGGAAATAGCCTGTTTTTCCATAAAAACTTTAACTATTAGTTTAACAGTTCTTGGAAGAGCCTTGGTGGTGCAGTGGTGAAGTGCTTTGAGAGAAAGATATAATGTTCTGCTTCTGAAAAGACTTCAGCCTTGGACACTATCAGAGGCAATTCTGTTCTGTCTTGTGGGTTCACTGTGAGTCAGAAGGAAAAGCAATTGATTTATCTTTGACAGTTAGCATTTCTTGACAATTTAAAAACTTTTTCTAGTGATAAAATATATATAATAGCTTGCCATTGTAAGTGTATGATGCTGATACATTGATTGCTTTACTATCATCACTATCCATTTCCCCACGTTTTACATCACCTCAAACAGAAACTCTACACCCTCTCAGCCATTACTCTTTCTATTCCTCCCTCTTGCTCTGGATGATTAATAAAGCAGTTTTCCCATGTGCATGCCTTTTTAAAAAAATTATTATTACTTTAATGAAAATTTACAGAGACTTTGGATTTCCATTCATTCATTGTTGCACTTTTCTCTCCTCCCAACCCTTCCCCCATGTGCATGCTTTTTCTAGAGATTTCATGTTAGATATTTCATCATACATTATTTATCCTTATCTTCCTTAGTACTTGACTCAGTATAATGTTTTCAAACTTTATCATGTTATCATATCATATCATATCATATCATATCATGTATCAGAACTTACTGCTTTGTGTTTAGCAAGTTAACATTCCTTTTATTGGCCAAATAATATTCCATTGCATGTATGTACTATATATATTTTTTTAATCTCTTCATTTCTTGAAGCACATACTTGAGTGGTATCCACCTTTTGGCTGTTGTAAAAACCAAACATTGGTGTACATGTAGTCCTTTGAATCTCTACTTTCAAGTCTCTTGGACTTATACCTGGGCATTGAATTCCTGAGCCATAAGCTAATTCTGCATTTAATATTTAGGGAATCCCCTAATTTTCCCTGTGGCTACACCATTTTACATACCTTCTAACAATGCATGAAAATATGGACTTTTCACATTTTCTATGTATTTTATACAAGTAGGATCATAGTATTTGTTTTTCTTATAATAGGCATGCTAGTGGATATGATAATACTGTGATTTTTACTTACATTTTTCATAATGACTAACAATTTTGGATATCTTTTCGTGTGCTTATTAACCATTTGTATATCATCTTTAGAGAAATGTCTATACAAGTCCTTGTTCCATTTTGTATTTGGTTGTTGGGCATGTGGTTATTGAGTTGTAGGCGTTCTTAATATATTCTTAATATCAAACCTTTATTAGATACATAGATCCAAGATACTCAGTACCATTCTCTAGGTCAGTTTTTTTTATCCTTAAGAATTTTTGCCTGAAGTAATTATTATTTTTGCTGTTTTTCAACTGGTGCCATTATTTCAGAGAAAAGTTAACTGTTGAATACTAATGTAGCTCTCATACTTGAATACCTGACATTTGTGAATAATTTTCCCCCACGTTTTTCTCATAGTTTGATTGGATCAGTGTCACATTAGAAGATAATTCTGATTTGTTTGATTTTCAAAATTAAGCACATCTGGATAATACAACTCTTCGATAAAACAGTGATTTCTGGGGTCAGATTATCTAGGTTAAAATGATATTTCTACTGCTTATGTCTCACTCTGGCTCCTTCCTCATCTGTAAAATGAAAATAATAATGTGTACCTTGAGCTCTTGTGGCTTAAGTATCCAGTTCAAATCCACCAGCTGGAAAGAGAGTCTTCTCCGATGTGATTTACTGCCTCTGAAAATCCACTGCAGGGTCAGCTGTTGGTTGGTTTGGATTCAACAGTGCACATTGTGTACCTTATACATGTGTCAGAAATAAATGAATTAATAATGTATATAAATGATGAAGTGTTGGGAGAGTTGTTAAATTAATAAAAATACTTGTTTTCTCAAGAAATTTAACTGGAAATATTATGTCTCTAATATAGATAGTATTAAAAATAAAGTTATTTGTGCTTTTGGGAGATCATACTCTATAATGATTTTCCCCTTTATCCTGAGTAATAAAGTAGCATTGAGGGTAACAGCTCACATTAATATAGTTTGGCCATCAGGATAACATGACACAGTAAATAAATAGCATGGTTTTTATTAAAAAAATTCTAATACTTTTCCTATTTTACTTCTTTTATTTTTAAGGAACTGATCAAAGAGCAGATTTATACTTAGAAGGAAAAGATCAACTTGGTGGTTGGTTTCAGTCTTCTTTAATAACAAGTGTGGCTACAAGGA